CTCGCAGCCACTGTGAAGACGAATTCTCAGCGTAAAGGAGAGAACTGAATACTGAATACTGAAAGCATACTGAATTTTTCGAGAGGTGGCCATGAGACTCTAGACAACGAAGCTAGAGGACTGGGAAGCACATCTCCACACTTATACTCAAAGCCTAGAGGTGGAGTGGGATGGTTTGCCTGGCATCTCCCCTTAACAAGCTGAGCAGACTATATTCATATACATAGAAGGCACTAGACCAGCATGGCTTTACAGTTGAGATGCTTCATGCCATGGGCCCCCGGCGGATGGCCTCTATCACCCCCATTATCTAATCAAAAGTGAAAGGTTTTAGACCTGGATAACTAATAGAATCATCACCTTGTATAAAGCAGGGGATCCTGCCAATGTGGCAAACTATTGGACATTGGTTATTTTCCAAAGCTCTTTCCTGAATAGTAGAAAAACAACACTCCGATTGCGTGGAAATTCATGATTGGATGCTCATGGACAGGCAGGCTTTCACCAGCACTATTCATGTATGGATCAGCTACTCATGCTCCAAGTCCTGCTTGTACGCATGTGTTACAAGCGTAACCAACCTCGGATATATGGATTTAGCCAAGGCTTTGATCACATGCCACGAGACTTGCTTATCAAAAGCTCGTTGAGATCCAGGTGCTTACTCCTCTCATTATGGGTGGTACTTGAGCTCTATATCGGATGATGCAGGCTGTCCTCTGTCTCTTAAGCTCTTTGCAATATACATTGATGCACTAGAAGCCATGATCCTAGGAAACACACTGGCGTCATATCAACTCTTGTTTGTATGTGTTGCTATGTAGATGACACAATGTGTGGCACCCTCAACACTGGATGCACCAAGTGAATTCTGTGAGGCCACATGTATGGAAGTTAATCTAACAGAGACACAATCTGCTGGCCAATGGAGGACAACACATGCTATTACCTTGGAGTCTGAGTCGAAGAAGTGGACAAATACAAATACTCGGGATAATTCACGAAATCAATCCCTGGAACAGTGATTGTAGGCAGTGCCTACATTGCACTCTAGTTGGATTGTGCCACAAACTGTAGTGCCAAAGTATTCACTGTCCCCTTGTACGCAGAAGAGGTCACAGCTGGGTATGATGGATGTCAAGTTGAAGAGCTCCAATACCACTTCATTTGCGCAGAGCTCCACACAGCAGATGTGTCATATCCAATTATCCTGTTCGAATCAGAATTATGGCCTTTGGAGCTCCTTGCATGGAAACATACAATCAATTATGCGAAGACATAGTGGCATCTCAACAACATTCAGACTAAGCTCCATTGACAACTCCATCGGTCTTATGTACGAGCGTAATGGAGGCTGATGGACAGATCTCATAGCAAAGGTAGGCCTGGATCTTGAGTCCGTGCTTGAAAGCCCACTAGACAATTACAGCTGGTGGATGGCACAAGCTTTCAAACACTAACTGCTGTCTAGAATAGTTGGATCTGTCAAATATGCCAAAAAGTGAAAAACTGTTTAATCCTCTTGGCATGGATCTGCATGTTTATCATCATGCCTCGCCATAAGCATGTTACAAGTTTGGTGTGGTAATCACTAGCTTCATGTTGAAATTGACTCCCTCGTCATCTCTGTCATTGCAAAGTCTGTAACACTGCCTAAGTCACATGCTCTTGATTGTATGACATACAACCACCTATGAAAGCAGTTCACTATTATTCCTTGTTAGCCTATCCAACATTGACATCATGGCTGGTATATCTTGAGGATGCATTGAGAGCAACTCTTGCCAAGGACTTTAGAGCTTCAAGGTGCTAGGGAGTGCGGAGTAGGTAGGTAATTATAAATACCCACCCTGTGGTATTGGGCGCTGCAAAAAACATGTATCCTTCTAGAAACCTTCTAGTATGGGATTTTTAGTTTTCAGCCAATTCTATTTGAGGTTGTTGCCAACCTTTACCAAAATTCAAACATTGTAAATTCAGTGAATAATTGAATGTCATAAAACCCCTTCAAAAGTTATTAACATTTTTATAATTTAAATCATTGAGATTTAATTTAACCTTTAAACTTTAAAAAGGGAATAATTGCCTTTGAAGTTTCCTTTTACCGCTAAATATACTGAGGAAATAAAAAATACACCCT